CGGCGAGAAATGAAGAGCGTCCACTTAATTATGCAAGTTGTCAGAATACACAAATAACACGAAATTCCTAGATCGCAGAGCTAAATGATAATTATAACGGCCTCTTTATACTCTGTATTTGGATCAATATATAATTTGTGTCAGCGAACATTAAATTTCGATTATTTGGAAAGCCTTTTTAAATCATCGTAGCTTTACAACGAGCTAGAATTCGATCAAAGTCATTACGATCATCCGATTTAACGATCGTCGAAATAAATTCGGGAATGCAGTTTTGTAGCTTAGCATCTTCGCGGCAGTAAACAGCGACCAACGAATTTTCGTCGGGGATTGTCTCACGGAAAAAAAAAGAGAGAGAAGGTACAAGCATGCGCCATAAACATAGCATGCATCAAAGTACGCCGGACTACGACGTAAATTTGTCACGCCAAGAATCATCTAAAATTCAGTCAGAAACTCGCAGTCAACTAAATTTATTACGATTTTGTCGGACTGCGTGGCGCGCTGTAGCTTCTGCGAGCATTGTTTCACAATCTTCTGCGAAATTGTCAAATCTGCGATGGTCGATTCAATTCTATTATAGCAGATATGCATATATAAGAGATAAATAATCGCGTTAGAGACATTTTATCCCTTTATACTTTAATCTCCATCTGTCGGATTAAAATTATTTTTGCAAATTTCGCTTCGTATCGATGCTAATAAATTCATTGATCTTTGTACATGCAGAACATTATTATTCAATTATAATAATGCACGGAGAGAAATTATCGATATTGACTAATTGCACTGCGTGCGATGTGCAGTTGCACGAGAAAAATAATAAATGTATGCGATAGATATGCTATTACTTGGATAAAATGTCAGACTTGAGTGATCTGGAGATTCAAGATACATATAATGATTTCACATAATATAAGCATTTGACGTATATGTATAACTTCTTAATATCGATCAGTGAACATATTGCAAACGTAATCGAACATACACGATCCAAAGAGCATGCAAGCTATTCCATTATGGAAGATCCGTCACATAATCCGTTATATCTAAAGAACATCTACAAACGAACGATGATATAATTTATAAAATTAACAGACTTTTGTAATTTGCATTAAATCTTTTCCTATATTGGCGTATAATTAATTCAAGAAAAATATAGATTTTTCTTTGTAATGAATAAAATTTAAATGAGTTAAGGTGTGGAGATCGCATCTTGAAATCAACGGTGAAAGAAAAACGAGCAGTGATCTGTAAAAGTTTGCAGCCAATCTTTTTATTCTGCTTCCCAATGACATGATAAAACAGAGTTTTATTTTACTGTAAACGTTCAGACGGTAAATGCTTTATTCGATGTTTCTATTGCATATATATTTCGCTCTATGCATGTTTGTTTGATATAACATTTAAAAAAGATATTTTTTCAATAAATCTGACATATTAACGTTGGTGAAAGAAAAAGCGCTCTTTGGTACTTCCGTCATGAGGAAGCACTTTTGTTGTACGATAAACCGAGATCGTATATTGACCTTATTACGGTTTATATTCTGCGTGGACAATGGCCGTAGTTCAAAGTGTATTATACAATATGTTGAAACATAACGGATAAAGTTTCCGCCTGTATTCTATGTATGAGCCGCGTATTATCGGTTGAATAATTCAGTCCATTTCAATGTTTCACGGTGACATAAAAGGACGTAGTTATGGAAATGAGGGCGTTGAAATTTCACGGGAATCCGATTATTGCCTCGAATTCGGCGGGATATGTGTCGTTACTTTACGAATGGCAGTGAAAAATATTATACGCCGTTCCGCGTGCATTGTGTATTTATCTTCGAGATTTTGTCCGACGGGAATTTTCGTCGCAGTCCGTTAATTTAACCAATTAAACGGCGCCAAGAAATTTTCAGGCAGAAATTCGTGAAAAATTCGCGATATGTTATATTATTGCATATATTTATTCGTTCGTACAAATTCTGTTTTTCCTTACTGTTTGTATATTCTTTATTATCTACAAGATAATTTATCTGCAAAATATAATTTCAAATCTGTAATATTATATATATACATATATAATTATTTTATTGTTTTTTTAAATGTATGATAGAAGTAACTATTCGACAAAATGTCGCTCTTATGTTTCTTTTTTCTTCTCGTTTAATGCATAGATATCCTGTTCAATATTCCATCGAAATATGGCGCATCATGGCTCATAAGTTGTCGTTTGTTGTTAGTTTCTTGCGTATTTTCACATAAAAACAGGAGTTGCCGTGGTCGGGAGTGGAAACTAACCGCCATAAATCATTTCTTGACACGTTTATGCCAGTCGCGTGCGACGGGTTTGCCACATTACACTCTCAACTTCCCAACTTATATAAATTTCATACCGACTAAGCTGCGTTTCGGAGTCTCTGCAGAGAAGAAAGTGCCAAGTAATAACACGAGAGACATTTCTGGATTAAAAGCTGTCATTTTCTTCACGTCAAATACTTCTTTTGAATTTTCTTATACATATAATAGATATCCTACTATCAATAAATCATAAAATTCAAAGATTTTATTATCTAATTGAATCAAAATCTCTTATGGTTAAAACTTTATCACCGATATGTAGTAAACTCTATGTAACAACTGTTTGATTATATTGAATATTATTGTGTGTGTCGTGTACACAAAACAAAAAGTTTTCAAACTTTATTGACTAACAGAGATTGCTTCTCTTTGTAAGACGACGTTTTAATATGTATATGATTACGTCAGCATATATATTCTGTTAATTTTTTTTACACATATCGAGTTTTACTTTCTGATGCTATTTGAAACAATTATTATCTTACATATGTTTGCTGCGTTCACGTTTATGGAAATGTAAAACATATTGCGATAGAAATCAAGCTTGATTTTCTCATAAATTTATTGAACATCATGCCTGACAATGAAATTACTCTTTGGACCGGCTAGCAAAATTCAATTTTACGCCGCGTTACTCTCGCGAAAATCTCTCAATTTTCAGCTTGTGCGCGGCAGATCGTGGAAACAAACAGAATTAACCGCGGTTCGAAAGCAAGACCGCGCGTGTTAATTTGTCAAATATATCTCTCGCGCATGTGACATCTACACGTTACTCGCGAGCGTTCGCTCAGACTCGTCTCGAATTTTAAGCAAGGTATAAAATCGCCGCGAGAACATTCTTCAGAAAATCTTTATGCGACTTGTCAAAGAACCGAGTTGCAGTAGAGCAAACTACTAATGTTTTATGTATGTGCCGACCTTAGTCAACGACGTGGATATCGCAGACGTTGATTTCGGCATAAATATTTAATGAGCTGCTCGTAACGAAGCTTCTCGTTGTCCGAAAGCATTCGCTGTCATTCGGTTTTTTTTTTGCACACGCCAATTAAGAAACATAAATAATGGAGATGCCAATAGAGCCGCTCAGAGATTTATCTACGAACGAATTTGCAACTTTTCTACCATTTACTGACTCCCGCAGGGCCCGACAATATGTACCAATCAATTATTCAGATTTTTCGGGGCTCTCAGACGTCCGCCATAATCTGTCCCGACTGCGGAGCAGATGAAAATTTCATAAATTGTTAATATTAATTATTCGTTACTTTGATTTCAATTATATTTGATTCTCAACACGATAAAACATAATGAGAAAAAGTAATTGGTGCAAAAGTTAATTCTGATTTATGATGTTGCCAGCGCACGGATAAAATCATAAAATGTTGACATTCTTCACAAGTTTACACTCATTATACATTATAAATCAATGTAATACATTTCAAAACGTAATAATTAATTTATATTCCGTTTTCATTAACTGCTGAGCACTTGCAATGTTTCACAGCACACGAGTCATAAATAGTTATTTAATTTGCATTATTACTTCTATCAGAGTATAGTGTCAGCATAATTAAATATAGTTACATGCAAATGTGCGCGCACATGAGCTATCAAGAAGGCTAATTTAAAAAATAATTCTCTCGCCTTTACGCATCGTAAACAGAGAAATCCCTATTTTATTTTATCAAAGGTAAATCAATTTGCATTTAAATTAAACTCTCCGCGAAGAGAATGTTCAAGTGCAAACGGCGAATAAAAGCGAGAAAGAGGGCTAATGAAAATCGCTTCTTATAAGGCGCGAATCGTGTAAATACTCTACGTCACGTCGTTTTCGCACCCTTCGTTTTTTTTCTACGCTCCATCGACATCAACCCGATTTATCGCGATGAGTACGTGCCAATGGATTGAGCAATATCTGCGAGAATACAAATTTAATCTCTTGGATATTGCTATGCCTAATGGTATTTAAGAATAAAATTAAATATACGAGAATTATTGATGCACATTCGAATAAGAAACCGAATGAGAAGCGGCCAGGTTAGTAAGAAGCACTTAGTTCAGAACGTGTTCCTATTTTGTAATGCCATTGGAATTCTATCTACCGTTCTACCGTCCGTCTCTCCTCGTCTTCCTCTCTCGATAGTACTACGCGCACTGACAGTAACTTGCACAGTGACATTAAATCGACCTTACACGCCCGCTATTCATTTAGGACACAATCCTCCCGTGGGGGAAAAAAGGGAATCGGCGAAAGCTTTTGCGAAAATACACATTGTTCTTATTGAAAATTTGACTTTCAAAGAAATTTTATGAGATTTCCTCGTAATTCAATTTACGCGAGCAATTTTCAAAAATATTCTCCAACAATAAAAATGCTTTATATGCATCGAGGTAAATGAAAATAATCGCTTCCAAACTTTCGCGAGAAAGCAAATAATTTACTCAAAATCGTCCATGTTTAAAATGTCAATCTATTACGATATATGGAATGAATTTTTTCATAGAAAATTCTTTAAAAAATAATTTCTTTCAATTTTGACTATGCGGCGATTCGCTCGGAAAAAGAATTTATTAGTTCGATTGAACAAAATGATGGCGCAGAAACTATTCGCTAACTGAAATTCAATGATGCTAGATATTGTACTCACTGCATATGTAGAGTCGCGATCGGCTTATCCGAAAAGAGCACGACCGGCCGGTCGAAGCGTTGATTACGACCGCAGACGCGAGCGCTGCCTTCGAGCTGTAGCCAGCCACCCTCGCACCTGCAACAAAAAGACGAAACCTTTGAGTAACTGGCCATTACTCCTGAGCGCGCAAATTGGTACTATCTTCCGTGCCATTCGCTAATTAGTTTCAGCAATTTTCGATCCGACGGTCTCGTCGCATCGCGCCGAATGAGAGCGTCGCGCAAATTGTATTTTGTTTTTTGCAATTTTAAAAAAGATTGCATATTTTGCTATGAGATAAGTAAGGATTTTCTACTATTTTTCCCGGGTCAAGAATATTCAAATTATCATACTTTCGAGAGTATGCTGTCTCGTCAAGCCAGAAATGAATTTTCTCTAATTTTTTTCCGCATATTAAAATTTTATGTCGTTAGTTACGGAAATCCACGACAGTGTCTTCTAAAATGGAAAAAGAAAAGGATTTCCATTCTGAGATCGTTTACCTTTACAAAACTGTATATATAGCTTAACTTTGAGGATACGTGTCTCGCATTGGATTTTATCCTCCGCAATGTTAAGACCTGTATCTACAGTTCCAGATTGAATTTTGGTAGGAACCGTATTTTGAATCCAATATGCGCGAAGTTTAATGTTAACTAAGTTCCACACCACGTAGGTACAGAGAGTACGAGTTTCACTTTGCCTAAATTAAATTGTATAAAGTGAAATCGAATCAATATTCTGTTCGAATATCGATTGTAATTGTAATGAAAACAGTTCACGATATGTGAAAAGATTAAGAAGATTTGAAAATAAAAATATAATGACGATTGACGGAGAATAGATTCGTCTTATGTGTAACGTAAGCACCGCACTGACTGACAGTAGCAGGCTCGTGTTATGTCACGTTCCCTACCGCGCGTTTTTAATTATATTTAATTTAATTATATATTATATATCTCTAATTCTATTATCTATAATTATTTTGTGCAGAATCTCTCAAAAGAATTTAAAAGTAATTGTAGTAATTAACGATATACACACACGTACATATATATTTTAAAGCTTTTAAAAAAGTTCGCATGTAAAATATATCTATAGACAATACTTCCGACTATCAATTTAAATTAATATGGTGCAAAAATGACTGCTAAATACATTTTCAACGTTGTCTGTTCATTCATAAAAGTTGTTGCATGAATTACGTCGCTAATTGTCTTTATCAAAGATGAGGCGCTCCCGATAATAACGTTTCGTGGGGTAGACGAGCGACTTTATATGAAGCGGGAAAAACGATTGCCGGCGAGGGTCGCGCTGAAATTACTTCTTCGGTTAAAGGCAACTTCAAAGGATTCGTTTTCCCGAGGCGTCGCCGACTGGGATTTTAGGGGCGAAATGAGGGAACCGCGCGATGTGGATGGAATCGGGCGGTTACGCAATAGGTAATACGCAACGAGGGAATCATGCTGATTCAATCAGGCCTGTGCTGCTTTCGCCTCAACTCGTAAGAGGGAAAACGAATGAAATACGTTATAACATGCTCGATTGATTATTATCCATCAAGATTTCAGAAACATTTGCTGAAGAAAATATCCTGCAAGGATAGAATACAAAATATATCTATACATATATCTGACATTACATAATTGATATTACATTATCACGATACAATGAATTATCAAATAAAATTAAATTATTATAATTAAAAAAAAATTGATGTTTTATAATAATAATATTAGTATTTTATAATAATAATTTGTTAATATCGCTCGAAAAATTTTAAGATAAAAATAAAAATAAATGTTTTCATCTCAACTATTTTTATGTAATATATTAAGAATCTAATATCACAATTGTAAAAAATTCTGGTACAATAAATCTCGACATATTTCATCCGATAATGCAAGTAATCATCTAAACGCTTTAACAATCAATTAAGCTTATCATGTTACCTCGATCCTATAGCATGGTTCGACAGGATTAATAGATATTCATATTGCGAGCCTGAGGCGATTTTGCTTAACATCGATAACATTAATTAACATATCAACGAGACAATCACGGGAGACGCACATCCTCCGCGGTAATATCTTCGGTCTCTTGGGTATCAAGTCCTTTATCTCTGCGCTGGCTCATTCAAATCTTGATACAATTCGTGCAACATGCGGATGCTAGCGTGCCATTGTTGCGTGAAGAGACGGATATGTGCTGTGGATAGTTTACCATTGTGTCGACCGTACGCTTATGAATTAATTGCTTGCGGGCTTTGATGGGTCGCGGATCCAATCGTCGCGCAATCCTCTTCGATCTCTATTGGTGCTCGGCGGGACATACATCTCCCTATAATCCGGCCGGATAAAACTTTCGAACCGAATTACGACGCCGTTAACATCCCGCAGAGAATGCGAACTTGGGGGATGCTTGTAATATCTTCTCTACGAAGAGTATAATAACTTTTCGGATAAGAGAATTTTTCAAGCTGTAACTTTTGTTTTTCAGCAGCTGTTTTTCGTGTTTGGATGGAGATATATAATTCCACATCACATATTATTTTGCATATTTTTAAGATATTATAATATGCAATACATTATAAAAAATAACTATTTTGTTACAAAAATAATTCTACACATAAGATTACATAAATTTGATATCTTTTATGTGAAACTGTCTATCCGGTACAAAAGTCAGGGAAGTGTTTAAATGTGACAACGTAATATACCGAAAAAAAAAAACAGGGAAAAGAATTGGTATGTCGATAAGTAGCATAGGGTAGAGTAGAGGGAACAATGAAAAGCATGAGTGGCGAGTCTAGGATGGTATCAATAAGACATCGTAAATAATTGATGCGCCGTGTGGCTCGAGAAGATGGGCGTTGTTACTTTCAGTTTGCCTTTCTGCCGTTCGAGGAGGAAAGATATTCATTCTTGATGCGGCTTACGTGAGTCCTTCAGCTTTTTTCCTTCGCTCACTCACTCAAAAGTTTAAATCGTACCAGAGATACGTATCCGTTACGCGATTCGATAAGAAGCTTGACTCCTCAGTCATTAGATATACAACGTAGAGAGAGAAAGGGAGAGAGAGAGAGAGAGAAAACAAGGGAGTTTGAAGTTTATATTGTCAAGGGATAAAGGATGTCGGGGATCGTTACAAGCATAAGCTAGGAATGGAAACCGACGAGGGGAGGGAGGAGGGGGAGCAAAGAAATGGAGAATATCCGGCAAATAGCGGTATTGTTAATTATGTGATGCAAATAAGCAAACGTTACGCTGCATCAGCAATCCCGCAAGGAGTTGCGACTTGCATTTAGATTCCGCAGCTGTTGTCGTTATTATTTGAAATATATTTACCCCTTGTCGGTATTGTACGAGCGAGTTGTCTTGCAATTAGAAGGATGCACAAAGAGGCTTGAAGAAGAATAAACATAATTACTCATAGCGACTGTGTCTCTATTATCGTTAAAATTTTCAATGTGAATCAATCATAATCCTATAGAGCGTTCTCGAATCTATTGCACACGAGTTTCCTCAACGTAAATACGGGAGTATCTGAAGAAGATAGAAACAAATAACGGGAGCTATCACGAAAAGTCTCGGAGACAAAGGTAGAAATGAGAAGGCGTAGCGCGGAGATTTGATTGTTACCGGCAGCGTGATATAAATAATTGAAATGCCAGCTTGCGCGTCACAGAATAAAGGCCTCGACGCTCTAGAAGGCGAGTTATCCTAACACCTCTTCCCTATCGCTTCGCGCCCCCTTGGCGTTTCACGTTTCGCCGACTGCATTTGGCGTCTCGTGTCCGACCGTGAAAAGCAGGAACCGACCCCTCGCGCCCTTTCTTCTCGCACCACTGGTCGGACGTCGCGGCAAGAGGAGGAAGTCCGCCAAGAGATCCGACGGACGATTCGCAGGAAATTGGATGCTTTTATTTCGCGCGATTTTCTCTCATGCAGCGGAGCAACTTTTCTTTTTCTCCTTTTTTCTCTCTCTCTCTCTCTTACGCTATCCCGCTCTCTCGTGCAATCCGCCACTCGTCCCTCTCTCGTCTGCACGATGAATCGAGCCTGTGACCGAAAGATCGAAACGGTTTCTCGAGAGTCGGCACTCGACTGTCCTGGTTTTCCGGATTGTGATCCGACTGTTACCGTCTATACGCATTTCTTTTTGCCGATGTAAAATTCTTTTTACATCAGGATAGGAGAACAGTTAATACAACCATCGGTGAAATTAATTGTGAGAATAAAGAGCAAATATAAACTTGTTCTTAAAAAAACATTCCAGATAAATATATGAAAAATTAACGATCGAGTAATTAGTCTTCATATTATACATAGTTCTGTCATATTTAATATCTGTTCTTAGGGGCGATAATGCCCGGCGATGATAGCGCGCAATGCACGCTCCCTCGATGAATCACAAACGCGAAGCACGCGATACGGAAATTGTCGGCCCCTCGTCTTTCTTCCCGTTAATAGGAATTATCTTACGGACGTATACGGAAGTAGTGTCTTGTTGAATTATACAGGAGCAGTGAGATTTCTCTGAGCGCGCAGGGTTTTGCGAACTACATCGGGAGGGAATATCGTCGTAGTGTCGAGGGGAGTTGCGAAACACTCGAGTGCAATTTAGGGCGGCCCTGTCTAGCGGAGAGTCCCTTATAATCGCGCCGGGGTTCACCGGGGTATAAAACGGAAACTCGTGGACCGTGCTTGGCAATGTAATGCGAAACAGACAGACCTCGCGCGTTGCACGGAAACTTCGAAGTCACGATCACGGCTACAATGCCAGTGATGTAACGTAATTTTGATTCTCTGTAAATGTAAATGTAAATATAAACTATAGTAGATAGATTGGAGCAATTAATGGAAATTTTATTTAACCAGCGATATTTTCGGTCAGTAGCCTCTCTCCATTCTATTCTTTTCGCAATTTATACGTAATCAGAACTAAATTATATATCTCGAATCATATATAAAAAAATGTGCATTATTAAGTGCATTAAATTCGACATTAAAGCTGGTAAAACGCGCGACGAAATATCTTTGAGGATTCGCAAGATTTGTTGCTACAGATCACTGTTGACGTAAGAAACGTACGAA